TAGAAATGGGGAGGGGGGGGAAGGAAGGGAATTGGGGGAGAAGGGGATGGGAGGGAGGGGTAGAGAAGAGGAGGGGAGAGGGAGTGAGAGGGAGGGAGGGGGGAGAAGGAGAGGAGGGGAAGGAGAGAGGGGGGGGGAAGGAGAAAGAGAGGGGGGGAAAGGAGAGAGGGAGGGGAGAGGAGATGAAATTCAATGCATTCCAGTTGCCCACCACTCATACAAGGAATGAGAACTTCCCTACGTCTCTATGACTAAACTTCATGCCCAGCTTCCACCAATATTCCCATGTCCTACCTCCTTTTAATATATACAGGCTTCCTTTGCCCACTTTGTCTATTCTCCCTCGGGATCTTGTTAAACACTAAACTTTCTCAAATTTGTTTTAGTGCTTAACAAAATGTGGGTTCCATGCCAGTGCTGCGTACTCAAGTAATAGTCTCACATAATCAGTGTGTATGAACTTGAAACCTGCTTTCATGAGATTCTTGAATGTTGTTATGTTTGTTAACCTCCCATATACTGCTGATGTTATCCACGAGTTTCTGAGGTTAGTATTGGGATTGTCTACTCCCAGGACTTTTTCTCATTGTTTCTTGTAACTGTCTTCCCTTTATGATGTTGTTAAATATAGGTCTCCTATCTCCATTACTCATTTTAATCACTTTATACTTATTTGGACTGAATTCCAGCAGCCATTTATCTGGCCTCTCCTGAAATTTGCCAAGTTCTTCTTGCAACAACCAACAATTTTCTTCAGGTCTTACTCTCCTCATTAACTTTGTATTAAGTATCTGCAAAAAATGACAGGTACGAGTTTATGTTTTCTGGGAGGTAATTTTCATATATTAGAAGGAGCACTGGTCCTAGGACAGAGCCCTATGGAACACCACTTTCCACCCTTTTCAAACTTGACATATCCTCGCTGACTATGACCCTTTGTTTCCTGTCCCTGAAGTACCCATAGCCAGTCCAGTGCCTTTCCTGTTATCATCTCGTCTCACCATCATGTATACTATTAGTCTTGTGGGGGGACCAGATCAAAAGCTTTGTGGCAGTCTAGGAAGATGCAGGAGTTACATGATCAGGTAGGTGCGTGGTGTGTGATCAGGATGATAGGTAGATGGGTAGGAAGGCGAGTAATCCAGGCGGGTTGGTGTTGAATGGCTAAGTGAATGATCATGTGGGTGGGTGGTGAATGTCTGGGCGAGTGATCAGGTAGGTAAGTAAGCACGTATGTTGAGGGATGGGTTGTGAATGACTGGGTAAGTCTGCAAGTTATGTGGGTGGGTGGGGGAGGGGGGGTGTGTGGGTGGGCGAGTGCTTGGGTGTTGGCCAGTGTGACACAGAGCAGGACCAGAACAAGGTAGGACTGTCACACTAACAGGTTCCTTGACCTCTAAGCCCTTCCATTAATCGTGGAGTAGCCACAGCCACACTCCACCTTACACCATCTACTACACTTTCACATCACATACTGCATGCTCAAACATTCAATGCACTCACACACACTTAAATTTTATACAATACTTGTGCAAATTTTAAAATACCTGTACTGTACTGTATCTCTTCAAAAATCTACAGTTAACAACAAGACTAAATCAATGTGGTCAATGTTTGTTTATTTACTCTTGGACTAGTAACACACTTTGTCATCTAAGAACAGATTTCAAACAATACCTGCACTATACCTGTCAAGATACACTATGCCATTCTTACTATACAAATGGATTCAATTAACAAAATGGTAAGCAGTGTTTGTTAGACCATCTGACTAATAATTTTGTATGTATACTTTCACTTTAATGTAGGATTGCTTAAGTTCCTCTCAACTCCTGTGTTTCTACTGCCCATACCAGAAGGGAATGAAAAACCTTCATTAACCCCATGGCTATATCTGCCATCACAATACAGGACTTGGTTACCGTCCTGACACACAGCGAACAGCAAAACATACAGAGAGAGTCCACGCTAATGACTGTTTATATTTATTATGTATATTAGTATCAGTGAACTGGGATCAGATAGTCATGATATGTGCGCTCCACCTGCCTTGTCTCTCATGGCACATCGGTTTTTAATTAACTTCTTTTGTATTAGTTTATTGTTTGTGTTTATCATTATTATTATTATACTACTATTACGTGCACCACTTATGAGTGCACAGGTCCTAGAACCTTTATTCATGGGAATAGATCTATCATGCATGGTCTGTGTGGAGCTCTGGTTGCTATGAGAGAAAGACTGTTGCACAATGGCTGCTGTGTGCCCGCTGAGTTCACACATTCATGATGTATAGAATGCCAGAGGTGGGCCATGTTTTGTAGTACACAAAGAGTAAGTTCCCCAGTCTTGGATCAGATAAGGGGAAACTCTCACATCAGTTTCCAATGGTCTGACTGCAAATTATGATGTATTTGTGATAACATACCTCACACTATCCATGCCTAGGCCTACATGATTGGAGAAGGCATGTCTGTTCTTTCCCTTACTGGCTAATCTGAAATCTTGATCGTTTACTCCCAGGAGGCCCTAGAGAGGTCTTTATATAGCCAGCTCATCCATTCTAATCAGGAAAGCCATTCAAAGAATATGAAGGTATATATATATTGCCAGTCTGCCAACAGACATTATTTTGCCACGAAGTTCCCTGAAACATTTAGCTAGAACATTACAAAATACTTTATTAAACCTACATACACCTGGAATCCTGTCTGTAATTTATATATAAGATTAATGTACAAGAGAGACCACAAGGTAGAGACTGTTCTAGTGTACCATAGTGATCCTGTGATATCCAAGACATCAAAGACAAAAAATGTTGTGAATAGGTTCAGCAAACATTGCATGACTGGAAGTACTGTACCACTGCATATTGTCCATGTGAGATTTCATCATGCCACCTGTTTTGTGGAAAATGTGACTGCCCGAACAGAACTCCATTTTGTCTTACCACCTCAGTGTCCATATGTAATCAGCTGCCACCATATGTAGCTGCCAATGTGTGTCACTTGACACTGCTTTGTTGTCAGCCACATCACATGTCCTCAGCCACCAGTACATCTCACATGTTACTATGTACAGTACTGTACAGTCATAAGTGTGTGTTTCTTGCATGATTGCCACATGCAGAAATATAGGTACCAGAAGTCTTCTTGATGCTTCACACTAGGCAATACTCTTGAGACTTAACAGGAGTGGTACTTGTGTCCTAGACTTCTGCATTTGGCAATCATGCAAGAAACACACACACAGCAGAATGCAACAACTAAGCAGTGTCTAGTGACACACACATTGGCAGCTACATATGGTGGCAGCTGGTTACATGTGGACACTGAAGTGGCAAGACAAAATGGAGTTCTGTTCGGGCAGTCACATTTTCCACAAAACAGGTGTCATGATGAAATCTCACATGGACAATATGCAGTGGTACAGTACTTCCACAGTCATGCAATGTTTGCTGAACCTATTCACAACATTTTCTGTCTTTGATGTCTTGGATATCACAGGATCACTATGGTACACTAGAACAGTCTCTATACCTTGTGGTCTTTTACATTAATTTTATATATAAATTACAGACAGGATTCCAGGTGTATGTCAGGTATAACAAAGTATTTTGTAATGTTCTAGCTAGATGTTTCGGGGAACTTCGTGGCAAAATAATGTCTGTTTGTTGCCAGACAGGCAATATATATACCTTCATCTTCTTTGAATGGCTTCCCTGATTAGAATGCACCAGCCAGCTGGTTGTGTGTGGATCAAGGGATGCATCAGCTGTGGACGAAGGGGCTGCAGCTGCTGTGTGGATGAGGGGGGATGCAGCTGCTGTGTGTGGATGAGGGGGGATGTAGCTGCTGTGTGTGGATGAGGGGATGTAGCTGCTGTGTGTGGATGAGGGAGATGCATCAGCTGTGGACGAAGGGGCTGCAGCTGCTGTGTGGATGAGAGGATGCAGCTGTGTGGCTTTAGTGGCTTTAGGTATTGTATGTACTAGCTTTATCTATATATCCATTATGTTTGTAACTCATCATCTATGTATATACTTTTACCTGAATAAAAATTTGAATTTGAATTGTGTGTGGATGAGGGGGCTGCGGCTGCTGTGTGGATGAGAGGTGCACCTGTAACACCTCTCATCCACACCTGATGGCTTGAAAATTTACTAGAGAATTGTGTATATGGTAATCATACCTTCCTTAACTTTTCTGTGCTCCAGTCATGTGAGATTAAATTTCTGCAGCCTCTCCTCAAAACTCATACATTTTAGTCTTGGGGCTAATCTGGTGATATATGCCTCAGAACCTTCTACCTACCTTGTGCTGGTTCTGGGGGTATCAAAGTCTCTGTGACTCATTCTCAGATCAAGCCTTGTAGGGCCGGTCAACCAGGCTGTTAGATGCAACAGCTCACACACTTACATATGAATTACAGCACAGTTGATCAGGTATTCTTTGGAGGTGTATATCAAGTATTCCTTTGAACACTGTTAGAAGCTAGCTAGTTATGCCCAATATAAATAGAAGGAGAGTTGAAAAAGTCTTGGGCCCTTAATGTTGACAGAGTTGTCTCTTAGCATAACCAAAGCATCTCTACTTTTTAACATGTTATTTTGGAGAAAAAAAATATCCCTATGTTGGCTCCATAATATTATTTATGGAAGCAGACATCAACTAATGCTAAAAGTCTTCCGATTTATCATTCCCTGTTTTATTAGTGCAGTTTAATATACAGTACTACTATACAACTTACCTATAACACAAACATTTTAGACCCTGATGCCCTTGATATTTCTTCCCATATACATGGGAAGATACATAACTCTTGGTAGCAAATACATAACTCTTATTATTACGATAAGAGCCATAAGAGACCGAGAGCAACTTTGTCAAAAATGATCCAGATTTTTTTAAGGAAGAATAGTACAATTCATGTGTATATACAGTATTGTATACATACAGGTATACATGTGTACATTCCGATAATTCAAGACAGTCACTAACCTGTTATAGTGTCCGTCTCGGTTCCTAGCCCATGGATATCGCAGTTGCATTCCTCAAGCCCTTTTCGAGCCTTTTCAACTGTAGAAAATAAAGAAAGTTATGAAAACAAAAGTTTAATCACTTGATGATAAACCATATTTTAGTTTAATATTAGAAACACATTATTTGTATGAAACAAATACAATTTATTTGAATGAATATATATATATATATATATGTCTCATATATATACTACATATATACTGAATATATACATATTCAGTATATATATATTTATTTATATTCACACACATCAACTTTCTACAAATTAACTGTTCCGAAGACTGTTCTGCTGCCATGGTGTCTGAGTACTGAAACAGCAAATACAAACAATGTTTGTGTGTTCTCAAATTAAAAATAAGAAATAAAAATCTGAAAAATTGCATGTACCAAACTTACTTTGTGCAGGGTTGACATGAGACACTTTTCTTCTGTTGTCTTTATCATCTGCCATGATCTTGCCAAGAATAGAACTAAATCTTATATCTCGACTTTTGTCTTTTTTATGTAACTGTCCTATACATGCTTCTTCAACTTGCTTGGCACATGACTTGTGGATGTTCATTTCACAATCTGTTCATGACAAGAGAAAATAAAATCAATCACCACTACTCCATTTCATGGGATAAAGAGGCATCATCCTGGAAAAATAGGACAGTAAATAGGACACGCAGAATAAAGATACTAAATAACAGACACCCTCCCTTCCATATCTTTCACAATATATCCACAACAGCACCCCACTGCTTCATATAATCAGGTGTAAAGTGGTTTCCATGAGTTATCATTTAAAAATATAGCAGTCATTCTCTTCACAAAGTGATTCCACTGCTACTTCCTCAATACTGTACTATTCATTCTCAATCTGTCCATCCTCACACACACACACACACACACACACACACACACACACACACACACACACACACACACACACACACACACACACGTTTGTTGATGGTGTACTAATTATGAGGAGGATTTAGACAAAGGAAGAGAGAGACTACAAGATAACTTGGACAAACTAAAAGAATGGTCCAACAAATTACTACTGTGGTTTAGCTCAAGAAAGTACAAAGAAATGAAACTACAGTATGTGTAATGAATAGGATCCCAGACAAAAGGTACCAAATAAGAGATGAAATTCTTCAAGAATCGGAGAGAGGAAAGATTTACGGGTTGATATCACACTGAATCTGTCAAACCCCCATATCAAAAGATATCATCAGCTACATATGCTAGGTTGACCAACATACAAACTACCCTTAGAAATTTTTGCAAAGAATCATTAAGAATCTCGTATATCATGTATGTCTAACCAATCCTGATGTATGCAGCTCTAGTGTAGAGTCCATATCCAGTCAAACATACAAGTTAGAGAAATTTCAGAATTATACCATCAGAGTAGTCCCAGAACCAAGTTATGAGTTACAGGAAAATGCTAGAGGAATTAAACCTCACATTGCTGAAAGACAGAAGATTTAGGGGGTAGATATTTACTAGAAATTCTGAGGAATTGATAAGGCAGACAAGGTCTGACTACAGAAAACAGGTGGAAAACTAAGTACCCAAATGTGCGACAGAGACATTAGAAAGACCTTTATCAGTATCATAGTGAACAAATGGGATGCACTAAGAAGGGAGGAGGTGGTGGTGGGGCAGATATGTTAAGACACCAACAGGCTCAGGAACCTGTTACCAGCTGATTGACAGCTGAAAGCTGGGATCAAAGAGCCTAAGGTTAACCACCACATGACAAATTAAATGAGTTCTCATTATGACTACCCATCTTGCTCCTGGCTTTCCTCTCCTCTCCTCTCCTTTCAAATTCAGTCCAATATATTCTTCAAAATACTGTCATCAACCATTATTTAAATATGACCAAACTATCAAAAGATAATCTCAATTTGTTTTTATTTACTACCTTTTGCACCTCCTATCTTTCCATGACATTAGCATTCCTTACACTATCTGTTTGAATCACAAGAAATACTTTTCAGATTATTCACTTCTACAGCTCCATCCATTGATTTTTCATGTTGGTGCCACAACAGCATGAAAAAATGGCACTATTCACCTCTCATCCTATGACTCTTCCGTTCATTACACAATCTATACTCCAATTTTTATTTAACACGTATTTGAAGTACTATACTGAAGACTTCTCATCACTTCCAATATATCTTCTCTTATTTTTATCCTACAGCTCAAATAACTTGCTGCTACAAGGATCTACAAAACTCATATCTTATTATTTCTATCAAGCACCACACATACATAAATTACATATATTGTTATTACCACATTTCTTATTTGATGGTGTAGGGGAGACATTAACATGAAAAAATAAGATGAAAAACAAGGTTGCAAATATTAAATAAAAAATAAAGTTACCTCATTTAATTATCATATCGTTCACAAAGCAATACAGTGTATAGCATCATGGATAAACAAGTTATCTAATATGATAACTTTCTTAAGAAGCCTGGTATGGTATCTTACCTTATGGAGAGAGCTTGTGTTGGTTCACCATAATGTTACACATTGTGAAAGATATAGTGTATGATTGCAAGTTGGCTTTTAGTATCTTTAACTGTTTCCTATACTACTTCCCTCACTCTTCTCAACAGCTGTCTACCCACCCATGAAAGTGACAAATGGCAAAAAAATAATGATTATTAAGCTAAATAAAACATTTCTGTTTTCCTTATATTCACTTGTTCATTATAACTGTTCTGAATATTGAATTTGTTCTGTAATACTGCTTTGCATATCAGCTTTTCTATGTAAGTACTCCACATGTCACTATATCTATAGTACTACTCAACATGTCACAATATTTTCAGTAAAATGAAGATTCTCAAAAAAATGATTAACTAGCATTGTGCGTGAATGAGCAGAGTTAAAACCCCAATCTACAACTGAGAGATTATTATATATGAGAGCGCAATACTCACTGGTACACTGGTAACCTTGTGGAGCAATACCCCAGATAATGATGCCACAATGATTACAGTATGTAACACTGTAATATGTGTGCTGATTGAAGTGATGGTCTCTATACACTTGCTGTAGATAACAATTACAAGAATTAGTCATAGAGCAAATTCGTATATTGAATTGTCTTTTCACTTGAAATCTATTTAAATAAGTATACATCCATTTACATAAATTTATGACTAATACACTATACCTCGCCTACATACTCTTTCAAAACCAACTTAACGGATTACATCAGTCTCTGTCCTGGATTTTACTTTTACAGGATTGAGTAGTCCCTAACAAAAAATATTATGAAATATACTATATTACCCAACCTTTCATATTACCTTTCTTAATCAGCAGCAACACAGAAAACTAGTGCAACCAAACTCTTGCATCCCATACACAACAAATATTCATCTAAGTTATAAATGTGTCAAGACCTTCACATGAATTGTCCCAAACTGCCACTTAGTCATTCTTTGCTAATTCAAAGTCTGGTAGAACCTCTGTTTGAGATACTTTCACCCCAGCTGAAGTGTTTACATAAAACAGCTGTTTGAGTGATGTCAACAAGAGGAGTGCACCAAATGATAAAATGTATCCTAAATATCAGAGTATAAAGCAGATGAACTGTATAATTCTTTTTAACTCGTTAGCACGCACACACACACACACACAAGACAAAGAAGATTCCATGTAATCCTTTTATTTATTCATACATTTTTATTGCACATTAATAAATAATTAAATCTATTGTTTATTTTCATAGGACACTGTCTATACTACACAATCTTAAATATTTAATGAAACTGATTAATATATATTTAAAAAAAAATTGATTTCATTAAGTGCAATGATACCAGGCATAATACACTCATACTTACACAAGCATCCAAGTATTCACCGATTTACTAAAGAACAAATAAAAACCTGGTCCACTGCTAATAATCCGAATGTGCCATTTAGTATGAGCATTATTTAGCATACTGTTACAAAATCAAAAGTAAAATTACCTTTTTATTGCCCCTGAAGATCTTACTTCTCAATGGTCGCTCTTTACTAACAAAGAGCGGACACCTTTCAATGAGTTGTTGAGCTTGTTGAGTTCTCACCCCATAGTATTTGAACAGGATGGTGGCTAGACTAGAGGCTGTTACAATCATATGGTCAGTGGCATTCTTGAGGTCATCCCTGAAAAGGACATACAACCATCTTAAATGCTAATATCCAAAAGGAATTCACTGCATACTGCTTTTGTGCAATAAATAAGTGCAAGTGAGTACATGTAAACATACATGCCTGCATGTACGTGTGCTTGCATGCATGTGTCCATGCATGAATATATGCAAGCATGTGAGCGTGTGCATGTGCAAGTAGTATACATGCACATGTCACTATAGTACTGTAAAGCCATGAAGTGTAGCTGCTACTTACGAAACACACTCAAGACAGGGCAAAAGTAGACTCTCCACAATTTGTAGTTCTTTGGTTTTATTGTGCATACTCTCCTCCAAGGAATGGTCTGGGGGCCCAAATATGGACCCCAGGCCAGCACTTCGTTTGTTGCGGAAATCTGCTAGCTGCTCATTTAAATCTTCACGACATCGTTGGCGAGCTTTCCAAAATACCTTAGAAAAATAAAGATAAACAATGTTCAAGCACATTTGATAACAATACTAACTTAAATTACTGATCTCATATCTAGCCAACTTACAAAACAATTACAGTGCTTGAAAACTTTTTTTTTTTTTTTTTTAGAAAACTGTTACATAAATAACATGTATGCTTTACCATTGTCCTGGCACAAAAACTACATTCTAAAATCTAAATGTGACAGAAATTGAGACTTATTTTCAGATATGTTTAATTATATTTGGAGTAAGTTTGATTCAATTCTGAAATCAAAACAATAAATCTATCATCTCACCTTCCGAAGAATTTCTTCTTTGTCCAATTCATTTTGCAAAGTTTCGTCAATTTCATGTAGAACACTCTCTTCAACATTACTAAGGCGAAGAGGCTGAAAAAATATTAAAGAAGGAGTATGAAATATCCAATATAAATAACATAAAAACACATACACAAGTATATACCATTACAGTATAAGTAAAAAGCAAATTGCCTATCTCATGGAAATATTAATTTATGGAAAAACAGGTTCAAATTTCCACAACACAAAGCAAATCTTTGTAATGTTTTGTTTCCCTTGACAGGACTCTCTTTGTTTAGAGGCAGCTTCCAGTGCAACCCTCTCCAGCAATGTTTAATATTTTTAAAGCATTAGTTTGTGCAGCATTCTTCACCCAATATGCCACAGTACACTGGTCTGTCATGAAGGGTCCACAGGTGTTACACAAGTTTGAGGAAAGGTTTAAATAATGCAAGAAAAAATTTAAGAATAACAAAGAATGTCAAAGTAAATTTTAGAAGTACACTACTGTATATTTTACAGTAATAAAATACTGTACAGCATAAAAAGTACCTGGCGATCTTTTATGAAGTACAGTAATAATGAAGTAATTTATTACTGTATAATAATGAAGACAAGTACTGTATCAGGTAATACCATAGAACCTTCTTGCATCAGTTACATACCAAGGTTTATATTTATTGCACTATAACTTAACAAATACTTACTGCACCAGGTAATAAAAAAGTCGAAGTGATTTCGTAAGCCCATCGCTTCATTTCCTTCCCAACTCCTTCCTTGTAAAGGTGCGTTATCACATAAAAGAACTGCAAGAAAAATATTATTATATGTTTAATTTTTTTTATCTATTTAAAATATCTTGCCATAATATATAAAAGCAGACTAAATTCACAACAATATTTCTAACATATACAATAACTGCCAGATAAGCCACCTCATGTAACAGATACTCACCAAACTGGACGAGTCACAGTTTGATATGACATAGTTCATAAAGACAGCAAGATAAGCATTATGGTTCCACAGTTTGCTCAGAGACTGGAATGGACCATGGTCTTCAAGCTGTAATGAAAACAAATCTGATATTACACAAAGGCTAATCCCAAAAATAATATATGAATGGTAACAATATCAAAATAAGCTGTTACTAAATAGTAATATCAAACACCAATCCATCAGAATGTTTTCTGAAAGCTACAAGTACTGTACTACTTTTATAAAATAAATAAATAAATAAATAAATAAATAAATAAATAAATAAATAAATAAATAAATAAATAAATAAATATATATATATATATATATATATATATATATATATATATATATATATATATATATATATATATATATATATGCGAACAAGCCTGAATGGTCCCCAGGACAATATGCAACTATATTGTCAACATCGTTATATATATATATATATACAGGCATACCTCAGAATAAGAGTTTAATCCGTTCCTGGAGACGCCTCGCCTTCCGAAAACTCGCATTCCAAAGTTAATTTCCCCATAAGAAATAAAGGGAAATGAATTAATCCGTTCCTGACTACCCCAAAAACCCCACATCAAACTAAATTTTTATACCTAATTTACCTAATTCATCTAAATAAACCTACAAAACTGTGTTCCAGTTATTACTTACCTTGCTGTCGAGTGCTGTAGGCGTATGGAAGATGGTGAGGAGGAGAGGAGTTACTGTTTGGAAGGGGAGTCCCCTTCCATAATCACATCACATAACCCCATGCCTTGTAACACTATGGATACCACTTCTCTTTCTAAATTTTTCAAACCAGCCCCTGCTTGCCTTAAACTCTTTCTTATCTGCATCACTCGTTGCAGGGGTATTCTTTAGAAGGTCTTCGTGCAACACCCTGGCTTTCTCACAAATAATGGCCTCCGAAACACTATCACCCCTCAACTCCTTGTCGTGTATCCAAATTAATAACAACTTTTCCACTTCTTCAAGTATTTGTGGTCTTTGTGCCGTTAATGTTCTTACTCCTTTTGCCACTTTAGCACCCATAATCTTATTTTTCTTCTTAAGTATAGTGCATATTGTTGATGTGGCTTTGTTGTACTGCCTACAAAGTTCAACAACACGTGTACCGTTCTCATGCTTCCGAATGATCTCTTGTTTCTCCTCTATTGTCATCCTCACATGAGCTTTCTGGCCTTTATCCTTACCACTGGCTTTCTTGGGACCCATGGTGAGATATATAATAACAAATTGTATAGACAAATCACCAAAAATCCAACAAAACACTGAAAATCCGCGAGAAGAATTGATGTGGGGGTAGTCACTGAGCGCGAGACAATAATAAACTGAGGGGCGGCGGGGCGGAGGGGCGACGAACGCGCTAGGTCGGCTGTACGCGTATCAACAAACTCGCGTCCAAACTCGCCTCCCGAAGTAACCCTCGCCTTCTGAGACAAATTTTTGGAGTAAATACACCTCGCCTTCCGAAAACCTCGCATACAGGGACAATCGCATTCCGAGGTACCACTGTATATATATATATATATATATATATATATATATATATATATATATATATATATATATATATATATATATATATGCGAACAAGCCTGAATGGTCCCCAGGACAATATGCAACTATATTGTCAACATCGTTATATATATATATATATATATATATATATATATATATATATATATATATATATATATATATATATATATATATATATATATATATATATATATATATATATATATATATATAATATATATATTATTAAATATGACCGAAAAAGTAAGATTAATAATTCTAACACAAATTTTCTCGATCTTTCGTACATTTCTTTTCACTGTTGGTGGTAATTCAAAAATCAATTCTCCAAAATTCATTTTTATTTCTAGTCTGACGCGACACTTGAGCGTGTTTCGTAAAACTTATTACATTTTCAAAGACTTTAGTTTACACATACACAACTGAATAGAACTTACACATCTCCGATTTGTTTATATCTACATTTGAGCGAGGTGGATGGGGTGAGGTGGCATTAATAGGGTATTAATTTCATCAACACAAGACAGAACACGAAACAATGGGTATTGAATGGAAGTGATTGTAGAAAGCCTATTGGTCCATATTTCTTGATGCTTCTATATTGGAGCGGAGTCTTGAGGTAGGTAGAATATAGTTGTGCATTAATTGGCTGTCGATTGCTGGTGTTGACTTTTTAATGTGTAGTGCCTCGCAAACGTCAAGCCGCCTGCTATCGCTGTATCTATTGATGATTTCTGTGTTGTTTACTAGGATTTCTCTGGCGATGGTTTGGTTGTGGGAAGAGATTATATGTTCCTTAATGGAGCCCAGTTGCTTATGCATCGTTAAACGCCTAGAAAGAGATGTTGTTGTCTTGCCTATATACTGGGTTTTTTGGAGCTTACAGTCCCCAAGAGGGCATTTGAAGGCATAGACGACGTTGGTCTCTTTTAAAGCATTCTGCTTTGTGTCTGGAGAGTTTCTCATGAGTAGGCTGGCCGTTTTTCTGGTTTTATAGTAAATCGTCAGTTGTATCCTCTGATTTTTGTCTGTAGGGATAACGTTTCTATTAACAATATCTTTCAGGACCCTTTCCTCCGTTTTATGAACTGTGGAAAAGAAGTTCCTGTAAAATTGTCTAATAGGGGGTATAGGTGTTGTGTTAGTTGTCTCTTCAGAGGTTGCATGGCGTTTCACTTTCCTTCTTATGATGTCTTCGACGAAACCATTGGAGAAGCTTCTCCAATGGTTTCGTCTAGCTACTTCTTTCGTACATGTACATTTACCCCATTCCTCTTAACCACTGTACTGTGCAGAATGTCTTAAGGCCCTATGAGAGTTGTGCTTTTTTTTTTTAATTAGGCTATGTTTTTTAATGTTTTCATCACTATTTTCAAATGAAAATGATTGAGTCTAGAAACATTTTGACATTAACTTGACCTGACCATTTATAAAAACAATAAAAATATGTCTTTGACAATTGCACTACGACGTTTTTGCTGAAACCAGGTGCGCAATGCGGTGGTTAAGCTCTCCTTTAAAATATTTTGTCTAAACCCCTTGCACAGATCTCTACTCACATCGGGGGTGACACTGCGCGCCTGCTTCATGTAACAAATTTGTAGTGAAGTTGGTAATGAATTATTAACATTAACTGAAAATTTTAAAAAAGAACAAAAATGTCAAATACTAGCATTGCCAAATTAAAAAATTGTCATTTCAAATCACAAAGAGTGAAAAATATTAAAACATTATATATTGTTAAATTCAAACATTTTCACACCACCTGTCGAACGCCTTAAGGTGCTATGCACAGTGCAGTGATCAAACATTTTAGCTTTCCAATACTGTTAAAAAGCATCATCCAATTTTGGAATTTCAAAAAATCACTTCCATTCTAATTTGCTCTTTCATGAGGAACACTTGAAATGCATGAGAACAATGTAGGAAGCAGTGATGTGAATGGGGGTGCCGGGAATATGACTATACCTACATCTCAATTTTCAGTATATTTACGTTCACTTTCTTTGTCAAGTTTCTACCAATTAAAATTTCTTCTTTACTTGTTATAATTACAGATGGACCCCTTTGTGATCCCCGAGCATAAATCCTGGATACAGCCTTAGCGTATATTTAGTTTTCAAAACCCATTTCCATTACTGGTGGGAAGAGCTAATCAGATCAATCTAAGAACCACAAAAGACAGCATTGAAAGCACTCATAAAAAGATTACTAGAAGCCATATATCTTTCCAAGCTGTGTGACAAAATTTAGTATTTACCTAATCCGTTCTTTAGAAACAGTATCGTAAATGTTTTTGCACTGATGGCACCTAACAATTACAAATCTTTATTACTGTTTAGTACTTACAGGTTCAGTGTCAGAAAATTCCTCATCTTCCATACTAAGAATGGCCTCTGTTGAGCACAGTCCACTTAGGTTGATTGGAGATACTACCTGCTTGACAAAAGAAATTATATTTTATCACCAATACAGCAAGATATGCCTAGGCTTTAAAGTATTGTGCACAAAATCAAGCCACATTTATACAGGATTGCAATCCAATATGACTTGTATACTGTATCTACAAAATACAATATGCAATCATATGCACATGTATAAATGAGTAATGTTCTAAATCTAACATACACATGCAACATTATACCATTATCCCATCTCCCACTTTCATGAGGTAGGCGAGATACCAGCCTAATGAAAAAAATGGGGAACAATACAGTGAATAGAGATTAGAAAATACAATTCACTAGTCCATTCATATGCAATATAACTTATATATTTGTCATAATTATTTTCCAAAAAGGATACCTGTACTCCAATCTGAACAACATGAAAATGCATAATGTTGTTTTAAGACAAGGACCAAAATTAACAACCAAATTACACAAGGCTAAAATTGAACTTGATAACTGCTCATTAAATGATTCGATAGTAACACTATTTTTGCAAATTTTGATTAAAAATAAAAGAATGTTACAGGTCTTAAAATATGCTTTTACTATATCGGATGAGTTGGGATAATTACTGCAACAAACAAGTACCATAACAAATTGGTTTATCGCTCTCTTTGTACACCAATGCTGTTTAAGTCACACTAAAATAACTAAGAATGAACTGAAAATACCCACTGAAGTATGATTGTTTGTGGACACGCCTAATATTGCAAAACCACTTCATATTTTCAGCGATAATGGGTGTGTTTGGCGTGGAGGTAAACAAACCTTGCCTTTTCCCCCTGAACAAAATAATTATGAATATACAAAAGAAAACACAAAAAGGGAGCAAATGCAGCAAAGTTATGGTTTCCCATTGTCAGGGACAAAAAGTCTGTTGACTTGTTCAGGTCTCCGCCCCTCTCCATATGCCTACTACAGTATATTCTTTATTAACCATCTCAGAAAATTTAGAAAATTTTCAAAACTTGACATATTAATGCAGTGCCACAAAGACCAGTCTTGAATAATTGGTATATTTCTGATATTTAGGCAGGCAAGATGGATTTCTGTATAGAAAACATCAAAAAGTATCCGAGCATGGAAAGAAAAAAAAAAAAAAAAAAAAAGAGCTAAGGTTATAATTAAAAAAAGGTGAAGGGATGAATGGTATGGTATGGTAGACATTTCTACCACACAGACAGTATGATAGAAAATGAAAGTACAGTATAAGCATGCCTGAGGCAAAAATACATTGAAACGTGGGGGCACACATCATGATGCAACACTTTGCAAAGTTTCTATACGAGATATTCACAGTATATAAAAAACTCCTCCTCAGATTTTCCTGTTATATTTAAAGCCATTTAAATGTGAAAGGCTTATTTAAGCCACCACAACATTATTGGCCAGCCAGCAAGGACAGGTGCACCTCCAAAATCCAGATGATATACAGATCACTTTTAGCTCTATATCACCAAATTTTCTAAATTTTTCATGCAAAACTCAAAATGCAAGCGAACTATGTTGCATTAAAAATTTGATTAGATCAACGTTAAAGGAGTTAGTATTAATACCCTAATATTTCTCATGATGTATGGGCTAGTTGCATTAAGCAAACTTTTTATTCCAACCAATCATGTGATCAACTACTAGAACTTGCATTTAAAGAGATTTGAAACCTTGAAACCTTATTTTCAAAGGCCACAGGGCCCATACTTTGGTGAATAAAGACCATTCCAACTTAAAATTAAAGTTTCAAAGAATTCTGTTTTAAATATGCTCAATAGCTTTCCCATGGCTCCAAATATTCCTTCAAGTGTAATGTTCATTTACAAAAAAACATTAAAAATGTGATATGAACTACACTAAAAAGAGTTAGCATTTATACCCAAATTTTTGGCATGGTCTGTGAATTTCACTATGTGGAAATTTTAATTTCATCCTGGTACAACTACCAGCAGAACCTGTCCATAGAGATATTTCTTCCTCATTGGCAGCATTTCTCAGGATCCACCCCCCTTATATGTAGGCCCTTAACACCAAGCCCATTGACTTTCCCACACCCAAAACTCTTTCTTTAACTTAAGATTTCTATGAAATATCTTGTGTGTTTTGCCTGAAATGCTTATCGTATTAGTGGCTTTAGGCATGGTATATACTAGCTCTATCTATAAATTCAACATTCTGTTTGTAACTTATTTTGTATATATGTACTTTTACCGGAATAAACATTATCATTATTACACACAGAAATTACAATAACATGATGTATCAAATGAACAAATCCACAAGGGCCTTGATGAGGGTTTGAACCTACTCGCTGGATCTTCCCGGACACACGCTAGTCAACTCACTAGATGCTCAACTAGTCAATTCTTTTACAATGTTGCGATACAGTTGACTAGAGCGCGTCTAAAAACATCCAGCGCATAGGTTCAAACCCTCATTATGGCCCCTCGTGGATTTTGTTCATTATTATTATTATTATTATTATTATTATTATTATTGTGAACTCATTTTAATAAATAATTAAGGAGATATGGTTTCATAACCATTTTCAGAATAAAATTTCTTGCACTTCCCCTAACCTAAACTTGACCTCCAATGACTGATTAAAAAAAAAGTGATTAGGAATCTGGACTTTTCTGTGAAATTAAAAAATTTGGAGGGAGGAACCAGTGGGAAAAATCTGGTCCATTGCTCAGAGGGATGAATTATAGAGAGGTGTTATTTAATACCTTAGTCATGAGCAAAATTCATGATTAAAACAGTTTTGCATATACACTGAGGAGTGGAGCAAACATCTCTATATAATGATAGATCAAGCAATAAATTGAATATATAGTACAGGTCAATGGATAATTTTTTTTAGTTATCAATAGTTATTCACGTGTATTTCTTGTATATTTAAGTACAGTATACAAGCTGCATAAAAAATTGTAAATGGAATACTGTATCATGCAAACTTTAATATAAATCAGGATTTGAATATGAAAAGCACCCACAATGGTACAAGGGTAACACTATGCACCATGGTACAAGGGTAACACTGTGCACCACGGTACAAGGGTAACACTGTGCACCACGGTACAAGGGTAACACTGTGCACCACGGTACAAGGGTAACACTGTGCACCATGGTACAAGGGTAACACTGTGCACCACGGTACAAGGGTAACACTGTGCACCACGGTACAAGGGTAACACTGTGCACCATGGTACAAGGGTAACACTGTGCACCATGGTACAAGGGTAACACTGTGCACCATGGTACAAAGGTAACACTGTGCACCATGGTACAAGGGTAACACTGTGCACCATGGTACAAGGGTAACACTGTGCACCACGGTACAAGGGTAACACTGTGCACCATGGTACAAGGGTAACACTGTGCACCATGGTACAAGGGTAACACTGTGCACCATGGTACAAGGGTAACACTGTGCACCACGGTACAAGGGTACCACGGGTTATATAAGGGTAACACTATATACTTGTACGCCCCATAATGTGATTCTAAGCCCAAAGCCGAGGAAGGCAGGAAGTGTGTTATTCACAATTATACAGTAATCATAGACTACTGCAGTTGTACGTCAAGGCCACGGACTGAGTTAACCTTTCTTACCCTCAAAGGATAGATATATGATATCATTACTTAGTAATAGAACAATACACATAAGTAATCATTAAGGGTTGATAATCACACTTTAACTGTATTTTCTTGTAATACTGTACAATCCACACTTTCTGGGCAAGAGCCTCAAAACTCCATAAATGTGGCCACTTGGTCAAGGGTGATAGTAATAGTAATACACAATGTTATGCAATAGCTGGAGGTTGTGCCTAATGATCAAAGTATAACAATGATTTTATTGAAAGAGACTAAAAACTAGTTTCATCTATCTATACATACACATATACATATGTGTAGTTTCATTGACTTTCCCACGAACAGCAACATACATTAATAAAAACGTACAAAAGTAGCTTACATGTTTCATGTCAAAGCTTCTACCATAAATAGATAAGTGGAAACATCAGGACTTTGTCATGTTACCTGTCCATTTGGGCTGGTAGGGCTTGTAACTTGTGAAGCAAAAGGGCTTGCATGATGTGAACCTGGCTTGGGTGGCAGACCTGGCAAGGTTGGTCGGCTCGGCAAAGGGAGGCCATGAAGGGGAGGGATAGGGGGAGCTGAAGGTGCATATTCTCCCCCACCATCACACTACCCAACAGATGCCAATGGAAAAGCAGTTAGTAAAAGCACCACAAGACATGGTTAGGTTAACCAGGGCACATGAGACTGCCAAGACAGGAACTCTCAACTTACAAAAAACATAAGGCTTGTCAGAAGACAAACACCCCACTTACAGCTGACTTTTAATCACCGTATGAACATTTTTGAGTATTTACATGCTGTATGTGTTCTCTAAGAGCTCAAAAGCTCCAGAAAAAAAAGTGGAAAGTAAACTCTTTGCCAGCACCAGAAGAAAAGAAATAGACTACTGTGATCTATGTAGCTAAGGAAACAAAAATTGACTTGAGCACTTGCAAAAACATCAAGAAATAAGAACCGTTTTGGTCAAATTCTGTAGCTGTTTATGAAAACTTCTACATGGACTTTATGCAGATAACAGCAACATTCTGCAAATACAAAACAAAGCCCTTCGTTTTCTGTCTTGGCACTCTCATGTCCAATTCAAGCATTTATGCAGGTAGCAGATGTTAAACATTATGTATACAGTGTTAGCATGTGTAAGTCATAATACACATTTAGTATTATAAAGAATATGTCTAACAAGCATTTAAAGAAATTTTAAAGGAATATTAGTCATGATAATATTTTATTATACAGTACATACTGTATATCGACTGTATTTAAAATAACATAAATGTGTTAAACAAAAAACTAATAACATCAAGCCTAGATTTGTTATAAAATACAATAAGATGATTGGGAGAAATTTGCTACAATGATTTGTGCCACAACAATTACAATACATTTGCCCAGTTAATAAGATAATGCCTATTATTTAACACCTCTAATATTGTCATAATAATTTAGCTAAGGAAACAATTTCTATTTTTGAGCCCTTAATTATATTTTCTACTACAATATATACATACATATTTCAATCTAAAATTGATTGAAAATTAATTTTGCTCGGCCCAAAGGCCAAGCAAATTGTTTATTAAAAAATAAACATGAATAATGTAATGCAACACCGGTACGAATAAATAAAATAAGGGATATTCATTAAAATATCAAACGGAAAAAACTTTAAATTAAATTAAGAGACGTGTATATTCGAATCTCATTACATTACTATTTAATCGCCTGTAGAGTTATTTCTTTATCTGAAATACTGCACTGTATTTTATTCCAAAAGCTGTTAATGCATATAATGATACTGCTGTAATTACCAAAGTGAGAGCTAAATATGTGATAGCCTGTCTTTTCTATAATCTTAAATCAAATTAAGTTCTGAAGCTTACAATGGTTTTCGCATCCACCAGCTCTCATCTCCTGTAACTGTGCCTAGTTAAGTACAAACACACAAATATACCAACAATACTACATTACAGTATTTTGTATTTTTATTATATATATATATATATATATATATATATATATATATATATATATATATATATATATATATATATATATATATATATATATACCCAAAATCACTTCTATCACTTCTATCAAAATCACTACCCAAAATCACTTACGTCCTCTAATTACTCAACACAAAGCTGCTATTAGGACAATATCCAATTCTGGCCCCAGACATCACTCGGTACCCCTACTCAAATCTCTGAATATGTTAGACATTAAGTCACTGCACATTCTCTCATGTGTATTATACATATATAAAACGCTAAACTATAATGCCAATCCTGATCTCAAAAGCTTCATAGAAGGTTGCAACAGAACCCATGAGCACCACACCAGAAATAAATACAGTTTTGATATTCCTAGAGTACGACTAAATCAAACCAGAAATGCTCTACAAATCAAGGGGCCCAGAATGTGGAATGACCTTCCCAACCATGTTAAAGACTGTACCTCTCTCAACCAGTTTAAGTTAAAAACGAAGCTATACCTAATAAATTCCATGTAACCCACCTTACCCCCCTGTTGTCAACCCATGTATATTTTTTGTTTTTTTGTTTTTCAAATCAACGCTGTTTGAATGTAATTTTCTGTAATAATTTGTAATTGTATTTGTGCTGCTTTTTCAACAATGTTTCCCCCTCTTTTACCTCTATTTTTTATATGTACTCATCACATCTTTTCTTTTTACCCATTAGTTTTAAGCTGTAGTCATTAATGTTTTTCCTGCCCGAAACGCTTTGCGTAATAGTGGCTTTAGGCATTGTATGTACTAGCTCTATCTATAAAGCCAACAAACTTTGTAAATCTCTTTATGTATGTACCTTACCTAAATAAAGATTATTATTATTTATTATTATTATTATTATTATATATATATATATATATATATATATATATATATATATATATATATATATATATATATATATATATATAGATAGATAGATAGATAGATAGATAGATAGATAGATAGATAGATAGATAGATAGATAGAGGAGGAAAGAGATAAATTTCTTAACTCACATCATCAACTATAGTAGAATAATTCTCCTCCATCTCATCAGAAGGGTAAAGATGGGTTGTTGAACCAGATGCATAGGGTGGAGGAGGAGTTCCTGGGGGTTCCAGAACTGAAATATCTTCATTACATACAGAGGGCACCTTACTTCGACTTCCACCTGACAAATTAACTTCAACAACAGAGTCACTTCCACTTGCATAACCTAGAAGAAATTATAAATAAGTTTATTAACATAATCTACGTCATATACAATAGAGTGGCACCTCCAGAATCTGCAATATAACAAGTCAACTCCATCCATTGAGTTTCCCCTCTGAAATTATGATGAAAAAACTCGGATACCCGAGGGACACGCAATGAAATTCGGATAGTCAGTTCATAATTTCCACCAAATCACGATTTTTATCATTAAAAATGCATTTATTTCATAAACATTTTACAAAGTTTGTACAGCACTATACTGTACAAACGAGTTAATGTAAGTGTTTCCAAGGAATTCAAACCTACTTTGAGGGAACATATATTGACCTTGTGTTTTCCTTGTGAGAGTGCAGTCTGATCTTTCATTCCACAAGTGGCTTCATTCCACTGGCTTCTATCCTGATACACTATTATTTGCAAATCAAAGTTACATCATCTGACAAAAACAGCAAAGGTACATCAGACCTGAGTAAGAACATCCTGACATGAATAAAAAGGCCAAGTTATAAGAAAAACATAGTTGGTAAGGAAGGCAACTCGCAAAAGATTATGAAAACTTGTCTGTTTTTCATTTTCATGGGATGGTATTTCACTTCCTATTGTGTGTACACAGTGTGCACTATTGGCCTCCACCGGGTAAGGATTACATCAACAGGTTGGGTGTCACATCTCAGAGAGTTGGAGCTCCCTCTCTGCTAGGATTCCCATGTTGTTTGCCTGGATGATTCGCGTTGTTGCTACTGCAAGGCTTGCATCAGCCTGCCCAATTTTTGCTTCACTCTTCCTTTCTCTGTTTGTGGCCTAGCATAAGGTGCTATCTTATCAGGATGATTGTACATCTTGCTTTCAGTTTTCTCCGGCACAAAGACTATATCTGCATCTAAAATTTGGTATTGTCTGGTTATTTGTCTCTTGCATGCACTATGCATTTTTTACCCACTCCTCCTTTTGCCTTTCTGAACTGACCAGCCTTTGGTTGGGGTGCACCATGCTTTGGGTCCTTATGACCTTATCCCATTCACGTCTGGCTATTGATCGAGTCCCATGTTATACTTTTGACCTTACCTTGTTTCATCCTGGCGAAACCATGTTATACCATAGATTTTTCTTCTTTTTGCTCTCTATTCTGAGTACCTTTTTGCTAGCTGAAGGTGGGAAGCCTTGCTCCTTCCACCAAGTACATGATTGCTGTAGTTGGGGAGAGGATTGCCTTTAGGTATTTTAGCCTTGTGTTCAGTTACCCTGCAATGTACTCCCTTTTATTGCACTCCTAGGCTGTGCCCACCAGATTCTGCTCCGTTTTTTTTCTATCGCCAAAGATTTTCTCTCACTTGCTCAAGGCCTGGGCTTATCTGTTGATGCCATGTGGAACTGTAGTCTGCCTTCTTTCATCTCTGCCCAGATCATGTTTTATTATGTCCCTGTCACAAACCAATTTACTCTATTATAGAACACTAAATTATGAATACATTAGATAGTGTACCATTTCCTAGTTCACTTGTATAATCCTAAAACTACTTAATTTTACCTTTAAATCAATTAATCTTTGTCTTGCTCAAATACCTCCACACAACTTCATCTAAAATTATGGCAAACTAGCAGCTCTATGTTGGAATGGGAACACATTCAGCATGAAATGAATAACAAAGTTACAAATGTGTTAAAACTGGCATTAACAAACATCTCAAAACCACAGTATCACATCCAAAACTTACCAGTACAAGTATGAAGGCCAAGGGGATCAGGGCTCGACTTTGCTCTGTAATGAGATGGAGGACGACTCCCAGGCTCCGAAACAGAACTTACAGACTGTAATAAAAAGGTCAACAAATGTTAATATTATTAAATAACTCAAAATGCTATAAGCAACAATAATGAAAAATATCAGTTATATAATTACACTTATTTCATCAGCAAACACAAAGGACTTCTGCTTCATTCATAAACTTATCCACTCACCAATTTACACATTTATACATTATAACCTAGCCCCCTACTCATGTAAAACACACACACACACACCAGCTCTCAACATATACACCCGGCCTCCACACACGAACACACACACACATACACACCAGCCCTCAACAAACATGCTACATTCACCCCAGCCCCTCAATACATGCAACACGTGTCTACCTACATTCAAATTGCCTCTTCTCTTTCACTGTCATATCTGCAACTGAAACATTTAGCTACAAGTTAATAAAATGTATTAAGACATTATTATGACCTTAATAAGAAAATTTCACTGTACCTAAAAAAAAAGTGCATTTCTACAAAAGTTTCACTTTTTATAGGAGGAAGGCATACAACTGCAGACCTTCCAGCAATGAATGTCACTAGTAACATTCAGTAAACTATATTACAAAAATGCAAAATACGGGCAAACACCTTGTACAAGTATTAAATTATTTTTGTATGTTCTTAAATTGAAATCATTACAAACATGAATAATTAATTTTCTCAGAATAACAAATAAAAATAATTCACAATTCGCATGTTTTTACTTCAAAACAGCAAAATCAGCTTCTACTCAATGATACAATCATCCCCATATACCTTGCAATAAATTGGGAAGGAAATTAGACTTGGAATCCAACTTGACTAATTATCCAAACCAAAGGCAAAAACATTTCCACACCACGAATGTAGGACGCAGGTAGTGGAGAGGATTTAAAAATTATAGAGGCGATGAGTCACAATAACGTGGCCAAAGTATGTTGACGGACCGAAACATCGTCGTCCCTTCACCTTCTAGTGTGCGGTCTGGTCAGCTTAAAAATTATATATGTACTGCATATTTACTGTACTTATCAAGCCTTCAACTTTTTTTTAATACAAGGTCCATAATGGACTGACAACACCAACTTTGTTACAGTCAGTTCAGTAAAAAATAAATAAATTAAAAAAATACTTTTTCATAATTTTGATTTGCCGAAAACTGTTATTTATTTATTATACGAATATTTACTGCAAAATAAGTAAGTAATTATAAAAAGACACCAAGCCTAGAAGACTGCATAGCACTGTCTGTATTTGCAGAATAGTCAAAAGGTCCTAAATATCCTCCAGGATGCCATTATGAGAGCAATAAGACATACGACGAGTAATGCCAGAAGAAACTAATTGATCAACGAAAGGTAACTCAGACTCATTGGGAAAGCAAGGTTGTGCATGATTAAGTGAGACAATGCAGTTTGGACAAGAAGGAGCAAGTCTTTGTTCCATTGCAGTTTGGACAAGAAGGAGTAAGTCTTTGTTCCATTGCAGTTTGGACAAGGAGGAGCAAGTCTTTGTTCCATTAAGTGTGTGTGTGTGTGTGTGTGTGTGTGTGTGTGTGTGTGTGTGTGTGTGTGTGTGTGTGTGTGTGTGTGTGTGTGTGTGTGTGTGTGTGTGTGTGTGTGTGTGTGTGTGTGTGTGTGTGTGTGTGTGTGTGTGTGTGTGTGTGTGTGTGTGTGTGCGTGGGGGGGGCCAATGCACAGCCTAGCGAAGGTTATTCCCCCACCTATTATAGTAGTAGGAGGAAGGCCATGGGGATAAACCACATTTAATATGCACTTTTTTATCCAAAAAAAACAGTGGTGCCTCGCATAACGATCACCCCAAAAGGCGAACATTTTGGGTAACGAACGGCCCGATCAGCGTCAAATCGTCCTGTATGGCAAACGCTCATTTGAGTAACGTTAACACTTGGTTCATGGTAGGGTCGCGCTGCTTCTTGCACATTCTCGGACACCTCCGACGATGCACATAAATTATGTTGTTCTTGTTTAAAGATGCTAATGATGCTGGGATATAAAAGGGCGACTGCTGAGATGTTGCAAAACATTGACGTTTTTGTAGAAAAAAGAAATGAAATTTCTGAAATACAACAAATGTCAAAAAGGTTTGTTCGGTGTTCGGCAGGTAGGCTGCTCCATTATAACAATCTTTCTTTGTTTCAAATGTGTCCCATTTGTTTTGTATTTGTCATTTACGTCTCAATAATGGAGCAGCCTATCTTACATACACTGAACAAACCTTTATGACATTTTCCTTTCTTCAAATGTGTTCAATATTTATTTTTCATTTATCTTATAGCAAAAGGTTTGTTCTGTGGTCGGCAGGTAGGCTGCTCCACGTTTCTTACATAAAAAAAAACGTAATAAAATGAACAATTTTGAAAACCAGAACAAATGTCAAAAAGGTTCGTTTGGTGGTCTACAGGTAGGCTGTTCCATGTTTCTTTAAAAAAAAAAAAAAAAAAAAAAAAAAAGTTGAAACAATTTGAAAAATAGACAAATGCCATAAAGGTTCGTTAAGTGCTTGTCGGGTAGGCTGCTCCATTATTGAGATGTAAGTGACAAATACAAAACAAATGGAACACATTTTAAACAAAGAAAGATTGCCATAATGGAACAGCCTACCCGACAAACACTGAATGAACCTTTTGCTTTAACAAATATGAAAGACTAGGGCTGCTGGCTGGGTTAGTACTGCATGAGCAACCAATTGTTTCACACGTGCCTCTGGCTCCCAAACACCTGTCCGACACGGTGTTGAAAGATTATGCTCAGTCGGTGAAATTCAAACCATATTGTTTGAAGAACATAAGGGTCATAATATTGGTGAAGCTAGGCGCAATAAGGACTTAACATAACGGTCGGATGCAAGTGATACAGCACCTATGAGCATGATACAGCGAGCGTATCCAGTTGTAGCTCTGAGCCCCACCCTTGCCATCTCCAATTTATATAGATGATACATAGATGAATCGCTTTCTGCATTCAGTGATCATGCATCTGATACAAGTAGCATAGATGAACAGTGTTAGCGGCCTCCATGGTGGTGTTTTCCATAAATATTTTCAAGAATACCTGAATCTCTTCCCGACTCTCAGACACTCTTTGAGGCTAGCTGAATCTCTTCCTGTGTGAGACCTTACAAAGTGATCTTTTCAAGACTACTGTACCTTACAATTTGAGCTTTTCCTATAATCGTTTCAATACTACCTTATGCTTTACAAGCTTGGCTACATACCACCTACAAGTACTAAAGCCAAGGGTGCATGCAAGTGCATTATTTGCAAGCACACAGAATGATAAAACAGGACCGAAAATCTATCTGTAGCTGGTGCAACGAGAGCAAAGTCGTGCTGTGTACCATGGACTACTTCGTTGACTATTACGCACCTCCAAAGTACCGAGTGTGTAATAAAGTGTGTTACTGTGTAAATAGTATGTGAAACTGTACATATTTTAATTTTAGTGAATTTTTATCACGTAATATTGTGACAATAAACATTTATAGTGGATACATTACTGACACATGTATCACAGTTCCATGGAACATTATGAACATTTTACTGTATACATATTGTAAAGGTCACAAATATGCATCATATACAATAAAAGAAACAAATAAAACTGCATTGGAAATACATAAAACAAATATTTGAAAATATATTCGTGGCAACACGCGGTGCTTGAATGGCCTGCGCGACCGTGTCTAGGAGCTTCACACACGGGCGACCAGCCCCTGATGACGTCACAGTGCACCTTGTCTACGTCCTCACAGCCAAAGTAAGTGGAATTTGGTAATTATTTTTACAGACACATGTTCAGGGAAGGGAATTTATCATTTTACAAAGAAAAATGATTTTTTGGATCCCCCAGTGTGCATGATTTTGCATCATGCACACTGGGGGAATTTCACAATAAACACAGCCATCACAGTGGTTAAATGTGGACATTCGTTTTGTATGACATCTGTTTCACATGACGAACACGGCGCTGAAACGGATTAAATTCGTTATTCGAGGTACCACTGTACCTGACCATCTATCTTTCCAACGGTTTATTTACTGCACAAAATTTTAATTGTCCACACCCACCAATTCTTATCTAAGAGAGAAGGAAATGATTTACTAAAACTTGAAATGGTTACCAAGAAGGTTAGATTGTTTGGGTTGTCAACTGCTTTGAAGAGTTGGAGTAGAGCATATGATGTAGCCAAGGCTGCATAAAGCTACTGTATCAGTGATCTGAAGAAAGCATTAGGATGCACACCTCAGAAAGTGCTACCCTATGTCTTGAGCAGCACACGAGGAGTGACACACCATCACAAAAGCTTAAATATGATGCCAGGGAGTTAATGCTAACTTTTAATTTTACATTTACTATTTACTATTTATTTTTAAGCAAGTTTTTATTACTAGCTTTTTTTTAATTACTTTAAACACATTTATAGGAATCCTTATTTAAGATCATCTTTTAGATTAGTGTACAGTATATCCAAATTTTTACATTTTAGTCATGGACACATTACAGTAATCAATAAACCTGACCACTGCATTACACTGTACTCAGTTATATGGATCAGGTTGGAAATAAAAAAGGAAGAAAAGCATTAAGAAAAGCAAATGGGGCTAAAGGCAACTAAAATGGAGCTGAAGGGAGAAACTAAACAAAGCAAGTAGAGAAGGGACAGAGTAAATGCTTACTTTGTTTACTTTCTCCTTTCAACTACAGAGCTGCAATTCCATTTTTCATGCTCTACTTTTTCCACTTACATCTCACCTCATCTCTTCTCTCACCTCTCCTACTCTCTGGCCTTATAATGGCTTATTTTCCCTATATGTCTCAGCTTCAGCTTCATAAGTCACGAATGGGTCAAAATGTCATCACGTCTTTTCTTTCAAGTTTGTTAAGTTGGAATATTAACTTTCAGCCACACTATTGTGACATGCTCTGCAATACAACCTATTTTAAAATTATAATTAAATTTTCTTAATCTCTGTTAGCATAAAAAATTTCATGTAATTGTTTCATTTTCTCTCCACACCTCTATTTAATTGACTGGATTCTATATTCAATTCCATCAGCTCCAAGAGCCCTATCACTTTGATTTTTTGTTATCTTGCTCAAGTTTCCATTTTAACCTTTCCTTGTCTTCATTTGAAAGATTCCTTTTCAGTAATGACAGATTCCCCACCTCATCATTTTGTAGTTTTCTGGTAATTTTTTAGCATTCCTGCTATCTATTTTTGCCTTGTCCTGAGTCACCCTTATCATACCTGTCAATTCTTCTATGCCATGAACCCTCATTTTGAGACTCATTGGAAAATGCAAATTCAGGCATGAGTGCCAATCTTCTTTACTACCTTGGCTCCAATAAAGTGACATAACTTAAAAAACACACATTTTCATAAGTGTCAGATTGCAGTGATTTATTATTTTGGTGGTCAGAGCACAGCGCAGTGTTGTCTGCGCAACAGACCTCCCTAAGGCACATTCAATTTGATTTCCATGTCTATTTCCCACTGCATCCTAACCATAATGAGTTCCAACAGGCCAGTAAGTACACAATGAGGAATATTCAAAGTCATTAAGTATCCCTACTGAGGATACCCAGTAATGTTAAGATAATTGTTTTATTGAGAAAAGTTAAAGTGAATTTTGGAAGTTTTTGGAGATACAAGTCTATTTTTCTATATATAATTAAGTTTGCCCTGCTGGAAGTTTCCTAAGAACATAGCCCTTAAAGTGAGGGGCAGACTACAGTACTCTTTCTACAATACAGTAATTCAAATATGCTCTCTGTTCACACTTCTCTCTAATGTAATACTAGAACTTTGATTTCTGCCATAACCCCATCCACATTCACACTGAACCATAAAGAGCTAGATCTCACTCCCCCATAGTCACTGGTTGGTATGCACACCTGTATCAAACCAATGATACAGTACACGGCTGCCATTTACACATGGTGTCTTCATAAAATTCTGCCTCCTACTTATTTCACAAATCATCTTGGGCCACTTTATTTTGTGTTTTCAACAGGTCTATGAAGGTCATGTACACTTTGTACCTATTTTGTGCAGATCCACACAAACTGTATTTACCTTAAGTTTTTCTACAGATCCACAAGTACCACACACACTATACCGTCTCTCCACTGTCCCTGTATCTCATCAACAAAACCTCACCCATCTTAAAATACATCTTTTCATTACTAGTCAGTTCTGTATTCTTTCACTCAGTATTATCATACACCTTACTGATAACACAATTACACAAAGCAGATTTTCCAATTACACAAAGCAAAATCTATTCAAGTGTCTCCTGACTAAATTTTCTACATATTAAATCACTGTACAGTATTCTATTTCAAAGAAATAATTTATAATTTGACAAACACCCTCTTTAAGGCATAAATGAACAATGAAAAGACAGTTATTTGAAGTTCTTAATTGGCATTATTACTATAAAGTTAATGAAAGTAAAAAAAATTAGCAATCCTTATGGATATCAAACTATTAATCACTTTGTTAACAAGCAACCTAATGACTAATAATTAATACTTAATAACTTCAGTCATGGACTAGAATAACATGAGCATCAATGTAATAAAATACAGACATGCACATAAGTTAGTCCCACTGTTGTGATGATAATAAGCAGCCCATTTAAACAGTCTTTCCCACACACGACTCCCAGAAAAACTCAATTCATGCACAAACACATACCAGACTTCTATTGGCATTTACAAATAAATACATGTGTATTCCATACATATAGGTGCATTACTGTATCTTAAATTTAAAACAGCAAAACATGCATTTTCAAGAGCCCAGCTATTTTTGTTTGTGAACCTGATGATGGCAACCAAGTACACATGTTAGAAGTTCAATACATGTTCACATTCATCCTAAACATTGAAAAAACAACAGAAAAAATACAATGTAATACAATAAAACTAAAAATATAGAAGATGAAAAGTTGAAATTATGCTTTCATTGTTGTTAATGAAGTTATTCTTAATAAATAATATATCGGTCAAGTTTATCTAAATATTTTTCAGACTTTTTTTTTTTTTTTGCTGAAACTACTACTGAACACTTGATCTTATGAAGCCATTGTGTGTTGCTGTGCTCACCTTATTGTGCTTGCGGAGGTTGAGCTTCGACTCTTTGGTCCCGCCTCTTAACTGTCAATCAATTGGTGTACAGGTTCCTGAGATTACTGGGCTCTATCATATCTACATTTGAAACTGTGTATGGAGTTTCCTCTTCCATATCACTGCCTAATGCATTCCATTTGTTACCTACTTTGACACTAAAATAAAATCTTTCAAATGTGTGTTCCATTTGGGTACTCAGTTTCCACCTGTCCCCCCTTGTGCGAGTATCACCTGTGCTTAGTCTGTCTTTATCTACCTTGTGGTTGTGCTCGTTTATCATTAACGTAATACTGTAGGGTGCAAATGATATAATGAATGAATGAGTGATGCTTTTCCTATATAATATTAACAACTTTCTTTCTCTATACTAAATAATTCATATTTGTTTATTTGGGCAAATACCCCCCTTATTCACCCCCTCCCCCCAAAAAAAAGTGGTAAATAGGGTAATGATAATGATGCCAAACAATTTTACTGTGGGATTTCTCTTTTCATAATTAAGAAATATAGTAAATCAAGTACAATGCAATGGGTAATATGAGCACAGTTATAATGAAATTGAATGTGCATGTGGTAAGCACATACTAGAACTGTGTGTGGAGAGCTACAGAAGAGTGCAGGCTCAGTGTACTATGAGAGAGAGAGACTACCCTCTCACACATCCTATGTGGCATGGACAGGCTGCAACATCAGGCCAAGAATGGGGGTCAGTGTTGATCTTTCGACCAATGAACATTCTCCCTTGGAAGTTGGTGTAATCATACTGGATAGTAGTGTGCCTGGAGGGGACAATACCAACCCCTGATGGGTTACCGAGAAGCTGGGCAAACTGTCATCAAAAAATGCAGGAATGAGCACTAGCAGCAACTATGCACTCAATAAAGTCACCTAAACAAATTCCTACAAGTTCTACCTTTGATCTCTCTCTAGAAGTGCAAACAGATATCTTGGAATCTTAAATCCTGTCTTGCTGCCTCATCCCTCACCTCCTGCCATTGTATACATGTGCATGAAGCAAACATCACTACCCACCTCTAGTACACATTACACGATTATGTGCTGTGTGGCTGACACAAGCAGATTTTTCACTTAAACCAAGCATCAAGTATTAGCCACAGAAAAGGAGTTAAATGTTTAACTAGGGGTTTCTAAGTCAGTGGTTGCAACTTTAAAAATATATTAGCCTCAGAGGAAGCTAGATAGACTGAAGTAATATAATACATCCATTAACTGTAGCACGAGTGTAACTAGAAATCTGATCATTATTATTACATTTCTTTACCGACTACTTTTAGACGATGTTTGTGATAATTTTATTATGAATATTTATTTGTTATTTTGCATGAGGCAACTGCTTCAATTCTGGCAATTCTTATTGATTTGCATTCAATGATACAGTAGCACTATTGTGCTTAAATATGAATTGCCAGCTATACTTATTTCTGACCAGTGTAAGATATTTCCAGGGTTAAAATATAAAGAAAACCAAATGAAGTATATACATGACCAGTAAAATAACAGGTTAGTAACCCTGTGGGCTATAAATATACTAGAAACTCTGACCCAATCCTTACCCACTACACTGGAATGACCCTGTTAGCATTGCTGATGGCATACTTTAGCCTATTTCTTACATACAAACATTATTATTTTGTTGATAAGTATTACATACAGCATTTTACAAAATAACTTCATCTTAACCAACACAGTTTTTTGATTAGTTATCATTAAAATACCCAGTTTCAAAAGAATAATAGTAAAAGAAAGATTACAGCAGGTCTCAAATGTTTTCATCGGAGAATTTAATCAAATCATAACATGCAGCTTTAATGCAAATGCAGGATAACTAATAAATTACATTAGTATTTCAATACCAATAGAAAAGCTAAAGACTTGATTTACTCTAATATTTAGTCTATCTATAATCACATACCATAAATGTTAGTTATGCTGTAAACTTGTATATCTTGCAAATACTCATGCACGTAAAAGAAAAAAAAAAATCCCAACACATCCTAGCACAAAAGCATCTCCATTAAGATAATAATACAAAGAGCATAGACAGCAGAAGCAGAAAAAGCCAATCCAACATACAGACAAGACGATGGTTGCAGACAAATTATAAGAGCAGTTTAGCACCCACAGCAACAAAATCTTAATGTACTTAAAAACAGTATTTTCGTAGCTTCAGCAACTTACATGACTGAGACTCTGCACCTTATGAATGTTCTCTAGACTTTGTGCTAGACTTCCCTCCCCAAATCTGTCCAGCTGCATGTGTCGAGGAGGAAGAGGAGGAGCAGGAGTCAAGGATGTTAATGATGGGGCTGATATCTGAGTGACTAGGGAGCGGTTACGAGCTGGGAGTGGAGGGGGAATTTCAGAGAGTGAATGTGTATGTGAATGATGGGAGTGTGGGAGGGAAAATGATGGTCGAGAAAGAGGGGGAGAGCGTGGGGAGGAGCGAGGGTGCGAGTGTAACTGAAAACAAATACAACACATCATGACATAACATAAAACACAAAAACAAAAAATAAAACAAAATATAAATTAAATTGTTTAAACATTTCAATCCAAAATTAAACATGTCATTAGTTGGCCACAGCAAAAGCATCAAGTATATGCAGAGTACCATAGGCACATTGCAAGCCTGGTAATCTTCATACATCCAGAAGACCTGTCTAGAAGTCTTAGCATGAGACAACAGATTACAAGCCCCCTCACAGTGTCTCTTACATAGTGTGAAAGGCTGCCTGAGTTATTCCAATGCAGTAAGTGGCATAATCCAAAGAAACAACTAAACCAAGCTATCTTAAAAATTTAAGCAAACATTAGTGAAATTAAGAAAATAAAAAAACATAAAAAGGCATTAATAGAAAATAATTAATATGTTTATTTTATGTGTTTTTTCATGAATTTAAATGTAAATATTGTAGAGGGTACTGTAATTCTAAGTAAAAAGAATATTAAGTACAAAAAAAATTCAATGTTCAAATAAGAAAAATTAATTGAACGCTTACTTGAGCTTCAATGTCTTTCATATTCTTGAGTTCTTCCTGTATTTTGGATATTTGACGATTTAAAGAATCCAACTCCTTCTCAAGGTTTCTCTGCAAAACCTGCAAAAGGTAAACAGTGACCACTGACAACAGAATGTAAAGCCTAACGTGTACAGCAACTTGAGCCTTGTAAGAGCCAAAAGATGTGTAGAAGCTACAAAAACAAATGAACAAAATGTGAAAGTAATATTAGAGCATAACGTCAACTAAGAACGTGACGATGAAACATTTAGCTTGGGATATTCTTACAAGGAAGTAAAACAAAATAAACAAGAAGGCATATCACTAACTACCATTTGTATTAATTCACTTGTTGACTGAAAATATAATGATGGTGTCAAGATGATCATCAGATGGAGATGATTAAAAAGGTTAATGATGATGAAGACATGATGCTGATGATGGGTGTGGGTGTGTGCGGATGTTAAAGCTACTGCTGATGATCACAGTTATTACTTTACTTGCATTTATCAACACCAAGTGACAACAGATAATGCTACCAGATAAAAATAAAAAATAAAATTTAATTTTCAAGGAATAGTGTCAAATATGTGAGTAAAAGTGAACAACATTGTACTGTACAGTATATGCAACATTGCCAGAACTAAGATAAAAAAAAAATGGAAGAGGAAATAATGGTGAGCACATTCATCAGAAAGTTGTACCAATGGCACAAAAGACAGAGGCTATGAAGAACATGCACGATGTCCCTGGGTGTTATATGCAGATGAAAATTATGTTAAAATATCTGAAATCGAGAAATGTCAAAAACCTATAACATTTCTTTACGTTTTAGTTTTAGAATAAAATAACAGATATAGTATACATACAGTGTATAGTTCTTTTTTCTTCATGCGTCCATTTAGCAACATAAGTAATCATTATATTAATTATATATTTTCCTTCAATGATTTGTCCTCTGTAAACTCCATATTTTGGAGGGGGAGGTTCGGAATTTGTGAAATACCGTGCCTCTCATAAACATTTCAAATGCACTAATATGCAAAAATATTCATAAATAAGCACTTGAAATATTAGCCCAAAAAACTTTAAAAAGGCTGGTTTATCCCTAACATCTTGTTTCCTGTTAGTGAGGACGGGTAGCCTGTATTTTTAGGCTCATTGAGGTTCCCTTCCTAGTCAATGATTGAAGTCAATGACTAGTCAATGACCTAGAATGACCTTCCCAAGGATGACCTTCCCAAGGATGACCTTCCCAAGGATGACCTTCCCAAGAATGCAACCCCATAACAATCGTAATGCTCAGATTCTTATTTACTACTAGATGAACAGAGACATCAGGTGAAAAGAATTGTGCCCGACCATCTGTCCTGCCCAGGAATTGAACCCGGGTTGTGAACCGGTGGCATAGACCTCTGTACTTTTATTAAAAAGCACTAATTGGTGCAAAATATTGTTTTTTCCACTAACACAATCAAATGGGAAAAATAGTAAAAACTGAAAAATTTAAAAATATAAGAAATGGAAAAGCAGTTTTAAGTTAAACAATAAAGTTGAAGAAAAAACCACGCAGACCAGCAAGAAGTGTTGCACCGAGTGTAGCCAATCTTACGAACCATCTAAGCTTCCCCAGGCAACTGAGGCCAGTTGCTCTACAGTAGCAACAACATACTAAACATGCTGATACATACATGCAATACCTAAGAATTTACATTAACAAGAAATGTAACACATTTGTCATTCTCCACTAGACTAACATGTTTGCTGCTCCAGTCATCTTTATGGTGACTTACTTGTGTACATGACTAACCTTAGAGGGACCTCTCTGGAGCTCTACCATAATAGTATCTCTTACTCGCCGTTGCTTTTCCAGGTACTTTGTCAAAATTTTTCCCTTATTTACCTCCATCTGATTTTGTACCTGTGTCTGTTGAAGAAAGCAGATTGATATCAATGGAACTATATTTTTTAATTGAATCATGAGAAGTTTCACAATACCTTATATGATATGATTACAGTACTAATATTATAATGAAGGAAAACTTTTGATACAAAAATCAAATAATAATAATAATAATAATAATAATAATATATACAAATTTTTATTCTGCAATATTTCCCTTTAATCTTTAAAAACTTATTGCCAAGCTTTATGTACTGTATTTGAAAAGGCTGTTAAACGATTTGGCGGGGTCGTATTCCGGGGAACATAGGATTAAGGACTTTCCCAAAACGCTACGCATGCTAGTGGCTGTACAACAATGTAGGAACTCTTGTATATATAAATAAATAAATAAATTTAAAAAGAGTGATCACAACAATAATTCAACAAATTAAATATGAAGAAAGTCTATGCACATACAGACTGGAGGCTTTGTTTGTAAAATAACATTGGAAGATGAGAAAATCGGTATGAGCCATGAACATCAGAAGATCATGCACTTACATTTACAGGTAATGGTGCAGTAATACGATCGTTTGACTTGGACTGTGTGGGTGTAGGGGGCAAGGGCCGGTGTGAAGGATCCTGGGGTGATGCTATATTCGTCACCTCACCTTCAGGACAACTTTGCAATGTCAGTTTCACAAACTGGGATGCTGTGGATAAAGCAAAACTTATTAATTACACAATCAAGATTATAATATTCTCTAAATATCTTTTCCCATACAATCCTAAAATGTGATGAGATACCCACAACACTGTACTACAACAAAGCTTTAAGTCACTCATACTGTATTTGCTTAACACCAAATTTATTATAATAAACAATCATCAAAGTACAACAGGCCAGGATAATGAAATGTTTATTACCATACATGATACCTAAAGATTGGGGAGACTTTTCTCATGTTGCCATACTGTATATTACTTGGCTTTGTACATCCTACACAGTTGTACAAGATCTAGTACAGCAGTATGTAGAAAGAGAATTGGGCATCCCCCAAGAGGAAATGCACTAAGAAGCTTTTACAAACTTATCTATGGCATTAATGTGCAATTTTTACCTCACAAAAGTTTCAAAATAATACTTAATAGATTGTAAATTCTACAATCTATGACAAGAGTAACATTTCGATACAGACCAATGTGAAAACAGTGGTTGCAAAGTTACAATGCAGAGACAACATTCCTCTTTCCTTAGAAATGGTGGTAAAGTTACTATACTAAAGATAGGATCTCTCTCTCTCTTTTGCCCTTAGGTTGGTGGTAAATCAAAACTTTCAAGAGGATACAAATTTACCTAAGCACTACAAGGGACAGTTACACTTGCTTCTAACATAGAATCAAGACAAACATCTACAAAGCTAACAAAAGATTTGCTTTCTATAATGTTCAGTTTCAGCCAAGAGATGCAAGCCATTTTCTATTGTTGATTTTTTTTAATGTAACATTTTACAGACTATTTTTAAACTATTTTTTCAAACATAATTTTTCAAAACACAACTCTAAGCTATTTTTCAGTAATCTGTCCTATCACTCACTTATTATAAGACATCTAAATTATTAGAGCTATTCATAAATTAAGTTATATAAAAATTTACCTTTTGTTGCTTTATTAGAAGGGACTTTTTTCTATAAATATTTGAGCAGTTAATAAATATTAATTAAATACTATTCTTAATTTACAGATACTGTGTTAAAATATCACTTTCATGCAATGAGGCATCTCATCTAAAGGCAAGCTAGTGTCAAGAAACACAATATGAAAAAAAAACAATTAGTAATGATTAAGAAAGTACTAATTATTCAGAGTCCAAGACACTAAACACAAGATATATCAGATATTCTACAACTACTCAGACATACAGCAGCCACATTGTACTAAGTGAAGATTCACACTAAACACACTTAAACAGATAAAACTATAATTTACATTCCCCATTACTGAACTAACAGCTATACTTGAGCACCATTTAAAACGAAGCATCTTAAGCCTGAAATGGTTGGAGACAATCCCACTACAGATTTTTTATATTTTTGGATTTTAGAAACGATGTCTTTCAGCGAGAGTAGTCAAGGTGGAGGAGCCAAATATCAGACTAAATTTCTAAGGACAAGGAGGCCAATTTGTTGTAGAAATGTGACTGTGGCTGGGAAGTGCAGAGACTGACAGACAAGTTTGCCATTGGCATTAGCACTATTTCTGGTATTAAAATGCAGTGAAGTAAGATTATAAAGTTCACCGAGTTCTGGTAGTAAAGGTTCAGAGAAGATAATAGTCAATGCCTCAAAACATGACAATTTAGATGAGGCAGCTGACAATTGGTTGAAGATGTAACATAGTATTATCCTGGCTGATTTCAACAAATCAATAATGCGCCATCACATTTGATCATAGCTTACAGATTGAGAACTCATATTTGAGTTTTGAGTGGCTTCAAAAATTAAAGAGAAATTTGAATAAAAGGAGAATGATTTATGGTGAGAAATAGAGCACTATGTACTGTGAAGAGCCATTTAAAATAAAACTGTAGGCTTCAGCAGAGCATAAGATTTTTTTTCATATTTATAATGCTGATAAAATGGGCCTGGTGTGAAGAGGTATGACTTCTGAAATCTTGGCTAGCAAACTAAAAACAACTGGGCCAGGCTGAAGGATAAGATAAAGTTTTGACAAACACTGTGCAGATGCAGATGACCGACTCAAAATGTTAATTGTTGGTAAGGCAGCAAGGCTCGGGTCATTACAAACACACTCCCCAGTGCCTGCACATACTGTACTTCCTACACTCAACTCACACAACTAGCAGAATCAGGTTTCAAAGGCCCCTCTCCAGCAGTTAGTGGCTTGACAGGACCATCTGCCAGTTTTGGGTTATATCCTGATTACTCTCTAAAGTATCTTTTATTTTGAACATAATTTGTAATTTACACCTGTACTGAAGACATTGCCTTTACCATTAAGTGCAGTAAATTAGTGTTAACCTAACTATAACAGTTCCAGCATTTGATGAATGCTCTAGTCACTAAGTGATTTTGTTACCAGTGGGTTTCAGGGATAATAAGACTGGACAGCAAAGAACAAAAAGATAAGTAAAACAATCTGCTGTATAAAGTTACTGCATCAATATTTTAATATTAAAATTCATGTGTATATTTAAACGGTGTTTAATATAATTTAGAAAACAAATTATTTCTCAATATCAGGAATTTGGGAAAAATGCTCTAGATATTTGAGGTTCCAATGAAAACATAATTACTGTTTTCATATTGGAACCAATTTACAAGCATAGTGATAATTGGTTTTGGTATACTGTGAATATAAATTGAAATTTTTTTCCATGACTTTTAACAATTAATGAATGCCAATACCTGTATCAAAAGGAGTGCCACAATTATGTGGATGGTTGTGGATTAGGAAATAAATCATGTGGCAAGAGAGAGAGAAATGGTGTAGAATTTTTAAAAGTGCATAAAGGAGTTTTGGTTGTATTTTTCACTAAAATATATACAAAATGTATTTGTCATCGATTTATATGGAATACTTTTGGCCCGATAGTGTTGTTAGGCTATTTATTTTCATTAACGAATGAAGGTAATATAAATACAAAAATAAATTTTATACATTACTGTATTTCACCCTTACAATTTTGTTATAATTATTTGTAATGCCAAATCTGTAAATAAGCAATTTTCTTATTAAAAATGTAATTTACAAAAACAAAAATATTAAAGTAAAGAAAAACAAAGGCAGGGCAATTTATTTTTAATTTGCTTACTGGTTGCTTTTATGATATTATATTCTTTCTGAACACTTAGGGCGTGCTACCAAGTCATTAAATTAAAATTCTTATGCATTTTACAATTATAAAATAGACAAAAAAAATTTTGACTGCTGAACATTATAAACAAAAATATATTGTTTATTAACCCCTTAGCTGCAGGACTTTTGATTAGGACCCAAACTTTCTTTGGTCTGGATAGGGCTAACAAAATTACTTTTATAGTAAGAAATTGAGAAGATATTTCCAGTGGAACCATAAACAAAATGTTTTGTAATTGTGAAAAAACACAAATCATTAAAAGTTTCCATTTCCTAATAGAAAATACATTATGATCCAAATAACTTGATACCAGGCCATGTGTGTGTGTTCCCAAGTTCCATTCACTATTACATACATAATAAATAATCATAACCAGCAATCTTTGTATTTCCCCCCCCCCCTCCCCTTCCCCCTCATCAAGGTCTTAAAAAAATCAGAAAAAAAATATTGCGTATACAAAAAAGCTGAACATGATTTTAAGTAAACTTGATGCGATGCAGTAATAACAGCAGTCCAAGTAACTCGATACCAGGCCATGCGTGTGTTACTAATACTGTACAGAAATATTCATCAGAAAGCCAAGAAATAAGTAGACTCCCCAAGGAATTTTAAGTACTGTTGTTGCAAAAATATATAAAGTAATACTGTACACTTTTTTTTCCCTATATTGATTTTCTTTTTGCTCTCTTATTTTTTACATTTTGATTAAGGAAAAACAATGCTCGATTCACATTTACCATTAACCAGTGCAGTGTTCATAACGGCGAACAAGTTTTGAACAAGAACAAGTTATATCTGACAGTTATATAGACTGCAACAGGTGATACATTCCTCACTTGCTGTTATATGGCAGAAAGTAGAGAGCCCTAAAAAATTTCTTGAAGGCGAGATGTCTGGACAAATATCACAGGCTAAAAAAACAATTATTCAGAGGCATTTAGTAAAACTCACTGATCATACTGAAGAACATGTTCTTGCTCATCACAGGTTAATATTTCATGATACAGTACATATGGAATGAGCAATTTCATTTCTTATTAAAAATGTAATAAGAATAGAAAACAATACACAAGTTGGGAAAACCATATAATTTTTTCTATTTTGCACCAAAAATGCACAAAATTCCTTAATAAAGACTTACTTCCTGTACTAATAATTATACAGCATGGTACTGTATATGCATTTGGAACACTTATGGTGTGATATCGAGTTGAGTTATTTTCTCAATTTTTGTTTCGTTTTGAGGATTATAAATTGCATAATTTCCTATTAGAAATATAAATGTAATCCTTTTTGAAGAGTTTAAAAAAATAAATACTGTATTTGCTGAGAGGGTAAATAGGACACTTTATGCCTTTATTATTTCTCAGTAGGTGGCATCCTGGCATCTATGGGCCCAGGTTTTGCACTTACCGCAGAATCTCTCAACAACTAGTTTTTAGAGATCTTCTAACTTAGCAGATGTCACAATAGAATTTTATGCTACCAGGAGCTCTTTACAGGGCAGTGGCAAGGGGAATTGGCCACGTTGCCCATCATTTCTCAGGTGCCTGGCTTTGTGTTTGTAGTTGGAGTGAGTGAGACCTTGTTCAAGATATTCATTTCAGTTTGTTGTAACATTGTTGTTGACATATTTGCAGCTAGTCTTGCCTGTAGACAAGCTGGTTCCAGTCATTTCTTCTGGTTGATGGTTCTTGTTGCTCAAGTTCACACTTTTCTACTCTCTTTCCTGAAGATGCCTTAGGCTGCAGCACAGGGTACTGTTCCTGTGCTCCAGGCTGCCCATTCACATGTTGCATCTCTACTTTCTACCTCAATATATTCTTTTCAGA